GTGTGTGTGTGTGTGTGTTACTAAACCCCCACGTTAGTCGACGCGGCGAGCTGCGCAGAAAAGGCATGTCAAGAAACATACCAGAAAAATAAATCGTCCACGTCATATGGCATGACCAAAAACAAGCAAATAAAGAAAAGCTGAATGCCCTACTGTTGAGGCCAAACAGACTAGAACATGGGGAGAGGCAGGGAGCAGCAAACAGGAGGTAATGCACACTGAGGAGACGTACGAGGCACATAGATGACAATCAACAACAAAACACAAAAACGCGATAAGACGAAGCAAAGACAGCGGCTAAGAAACAAGTAGTACCCACGGAAGACATAGACATAGGCTCGAGGGCAAAGGCAAGGCGAGTGGACAGACACACAGTGGGAACAGCACACACTGGCAAGGCAGGGGCACAAGGCAACACAAGCAAGGCAACAGCACTGCAGGGGACGACAGGGCGAGTGACCCAGCAGCTGGGCAACCGTGGAGCGGAGCACAAGGCACCAGCAACAAGGCAACCAACCTACAGGGGACACAAGCGGCAAGCACGGAAGGCACGGCCAATGGATGAGCAGCATGGCAGCGGAGCAGCGAAGCGTAAGGCAACACCAACAACACGGCCACACCGCACAGCAAACACATCAACATGCGAAGCAAGCGAGACAGGCAGCAGGGCAGCGGCGGAGCGCAGACAAGGACATCCACACATCCAACACGGAGCAAAGCAGCCCATGACCTACTCACATCACGATAGAACCCCGCAGACTGTTGGTTCCCACCACCCACTGAGCCAGGGAGTCACTCCGACGAACATCCGTCATCACCGACAGGCAACACAGACATCCCGAAACGAGCAGCCCCCATAAGAGTGCAGTAGGCACTCCAAACGAGGAACCACCGACTGTTTGGCACCGCTCGAAGGTGCCCCGTTGGGCAAACAAAAAGGTACTTGGAAAAAACTCAGGAGGACAGACAAAAGGATAAAGACTTGCAGACATAAAACTGATTGTGTGTGTGTGTGTGTGTGTGTGTGTGTGTGTGTGTGTGTGTGTGTGTGTGTGTGTGTGAGAGAGAGAGAGAGAGAGAGAGAGAGAGAGAGAGAGAGAGAGTTTGCATCGGTCAGTTGTCTCCACCACAAATGAATTCTCTGTTATTTTTGTTTTTTTTGTGAGCTAAGCCACAACAGGTTGTCTAGTACCAAATTGGAAATAAAAAGTAAAATGAAATGGAAAGATGTTTTTTTGCCTGGGGGAAGTGGTCCAGGGACATTCTGGTAGCCTCCCCATCAACGGTAACTAGGACAAAAGCCAACGGCAGGGATTTTTTTTTGCCTGGAGAAACATTGTTTTTCTGGACCTGACTCCAGGGCCCTGCGGCAGAGAAACTGTGTCATGTATCTCCGGACTTTTTCGCGGTCGTGGCACTTACTATCACATAGCAGACTCAAAGCGCCAATGCATAGCGCGGTTGTCATATGGACTTCGTAGTTGTTTGCCTATGGTATATGCTGCCAAATTCAAGCTTCGCTCACGGGCCAAGGGTTTGCCATTTTCACCAAGTGAGCTTGATTTCAAACTAAGTGGACTCTATCATTCAAAACACGGCGGGACGCCTTTACCATTCCTCACGCTCAGAAGTATACACCAGAGATTCTGGAAAATTGAGATCTGGTAGATTTGGTCATGATCTCTACGAGGAAAATAATTGGGAAAAAAAAAGTTGTTAAACCGCCAGTACTTGGCCTAGCTATTGGCTGCGGAAAAAAATAGAGTAGAAACGTTTGTAGTCTGATGAATTTGGGCGCTCCTGTAGTAGCACGTACGTTTCCTTAAATTGTGGCGCGTTAACGGGCACAACTCTAGGAAGCACTGGTGGTTTAAGACCATGAAATATTAGCCGCGCCGATTTGGTGCATTTTCCATTTTTGCGACTCTGCCACGTATGGGCCAACGGAGAAGGCCAACCGATTTGGAAGCACTGGTGGTTTCAGGCTAAGAACAATTTACAAAAAAGCCACTCTATGCTACCGACAGCCCTTATGAACTTGTGCTACAGGTCCCCAGACTTTGTAGTGGGGGGGGGAAATGGTGGTTTAAGGGGGGTTAGCTGTCCTCCATGTGACAGGGTGAAAATGATGGAACGAGGTCTTCGTGTTTTTGCTTGGTAGGCATTTTGTTTGTGGAGAATCAATTTTGTATGCTGTTTCTGACGGAGGGGAGAGGACTGGCTAGTGGGCAAAGACAGGATGTATGGTGGGGGAAAAGAATGGGAATAGTGATTATTAAACTGCTTGTCGTGATGAAATGTCTAGAGGATTAGCAAAGGTGCGCACATGCGTGTAGAAGGGGGGAAAAAACACAACCACGCGCTCGCTGGTCCTGGCCAATTATCCGCTTTCCATCGGTGAACGTAAACACCGTGCTGCGCAGGTCGACAACAATTTCGGCAACGCGAACTGCATGGGGTCACGATTTGACTGCAACTCCCCTCGCATGCTAAAACAGTTCAGTTCGCCTATCTCTCAGTGATAAGGCCAGTGATGGTCTTTTCTTCCGCCAGATATGTAGTGGACTTAAAACCACCCATGCACTGACTATCCCAATGCATAAAACAAGTGAGGTGGTTGGTGCTAATGTGTCGACAAGAAAAATGTGACAGTCCTACCTGCATGGCAATGTAGATTAAAATTCTGCCCCAAAGAAGAGACTTCTTTTCCTTGCATGTCATCTTTCCACGCGAGCTGTGCTAATCTTCTCTGCATCTTTCTTATTTTATTACCAGCATAGATTTGAAATAGGGCATTTGACAGAATCCAAGAAAAAAAAAAAAAAACACATGATAGTTTCCCCCATGGGACTCCGTGGCAGATAAATCTTGCTGCATCTGCAATGAGCAAGCAATAAACAACAGCTTTCGTGAACAAACACCCAAAGAGACACATGCACTTTCTTCTACACAGTTCAGGATTTTCCAGCACTAAAAAAGGTTGTTTTCATCCCCGATGCGGTGGACATGTGCTGTGTAACTGGCATCCCTTAACCATACTGCTCGTTAAAAATTGAACCCTTACTTGCCACCAAAGAGGTGGATCACTTAACCACCAGTACTTGGCCCAGCTATCGGCCGCGGAAAAAAAGTAGAGTAGAAACGTTTCTAGTTGGATGAATTTGGGTGCTCCTGTAGTGGCCCGTATGTTTCCTAAAATTGCGTAGCGCTAACGCTACGGGACTTTAGGAAGTACTGGTGGTTTAACCCTGCCACCAAAGAGGTGGATCACTGGCATCCCTTAACCATAATACGTGGGATGAAAACGAAGCGGAGTGCGGGACATTTCACCCTACTCCAGCATGGGAGACACTGGAAGCTCATCATGACCTAGTGTAACCAGACTGCACTCAACCCAAGCGCTAATGAGGGGCATCCCCACTCTGTGGATGCCGCTAGAGTATCATCGAGCACCAACCCAACATCATCGGTAACCATCCTATTGTGTTGCATCCTACACTCCCAGACGACTGAGCAATCAAAACTGGTGAAAATACAAGGCGTGTGCACCACAGAGACACAGAGTGAAAGGGCGCATGGCCCACGCGTGTGCAGAGAGATATAGAGGGTGCACGGCCTGCACGTGCACAGAGAGAGAGAGAGAGAGAGAGAGAGAGAGAGAGAGGATACACTGCATTTTAAGAGTATCTTCCCGCATTCTCGCATGAGATTCATTCTCGTTTTGCACATTCCAAGAACCAGAAGTGCAAAACGAGAATGAATCTTCCTCGAGATCAGGGGAAGGTATAACGACATTATCAGAGTATCTTCCCATGTTCCCATGGAAGATTCATTCTGGTTGTGCAGATCTTCCCAAATGTGCAAAACCAGAATTATTCCCTGTGAGCATGCGAAGATATAGCGCCCTATTCTCTCTCTCTCTCTCTCTCTCTCTCTCTCTCTCTCTCTATATATATATATATATATATATATATATATATATATATATATATATATATATTGACAAAATATATATATATATATATATATATGCTCAATCCGCGATGCTCGAGAGCATATTCCCACGTTCTCGCAGGAGATTCATCCTTATTTTGCACATTTCTGCGAAACAAGAACGAATCTTTCCTGAGAACGAGAAAGATGCATCTCCATTATCAACGCAATTTCCCGCATTCCCACAGAACATTCATTCTGGTTTTTCAGATGTTCCCAAATGTGCAAAACTAGCATGTATCTTCCATGCAAACACGAGAAGAGCCACCGCCTCTCTCTCTCTCTCTCTCTCTCTCTCTCTCTCTCTCTCTCTCTCTCTCTCTCTCTCTCTCTCTCTCTCTCTCTCTCTCTTTGTGTGTGTGTGCTTGCGTGTGGGCCGCTCGCCGTTGTCCTCCTAGAACCCCGCCAATCATTCCACACCCCTTGCCCCCAACACGAATGAACATTTTCGGGACCCGTAACCACAAATGAAAATAGAACAGCAATAGCTCCTACATAAACAACTAAAAAATCGTAGCGAAAAAATTCCAAATGACACAAGTAAACTTGAAGTATTACAAATGACTTGAAGTGGGAAAAAAAAACGGAATGAACTGGGTTTCTAGCACATATAATAACGCCAGAACCTAAAGTGATGCGGGCCTACGCGCTTTGCTTTTTTCCGAGTGTATTAGATTGCTTCGGCTTTTAGAGATTGATCATCAAAAGCTGCGAACATGTTTGTGACATGATTAGGCGAACATGTTCACGTGTTTGGCCGCCTGGGAAGTTTACTACACTGGTGTTTACTTTTATGACCGTCGCAAACCACCTCAGGCACAAATGGCGGGTGTTGTTTTTTGCCCCATGTCACATATATATCAAACACGGCTTATCATGCACAGGACGACACGTGGGCTTGGAAGCTTCTAAGTCTTCACCCTCCAGTGGAGAAGTGGGACTTGCGGGGGGGGTGCATCCGATCGTACAACAGATTCGGTGTTTAAATTAGGAGCATCCAATTCTTGAAAGAACGTCAAATTATTGACTAGGCTACCAGAGTGGCCCGGGGTCACTTGCCCGGCCGGGCCAAAAAAAAAAGAAAAAAATAAATAAATTGGGGTGATCACAACTGTCTATATTCTTCTCTCAACTTCTGTTTGTTTACCTTCCACTACCTACTCCTAAGACTATCTAGAGGGGACCCCTGCAAGCATAGTTTTCCTCTCTCTGTGAAGGGGAGATTTCATGTTGCCCCTCGCCCCTAATGGTTAGGGTATAGGGTTGGGGCGGCCAGTGGGGCTCTGGCTAACACAAAGACCGAGACCTGCCAGTAGCTGTGCCTCCCTTTCTCATCGTCCCCCACCCTTCATCGAGTAGCAGCAGAGGCTATGGCCAACTGTTACATACTTCAATGAGTATGGTCAGAACCAAAGATCAACCAATGTAGGATGAGTATATATGCAGCGGAAGTCTGATAAACAGACCGACTCACATAGACTGACTCACATAGATATCACTCCACACACATACAATCGTGAGATGGTGGGGTTTGGGCCAAGCATAGACGATGCCCTGACCTCGTACACACGTACATAGATGAGAGGTGGCAGGAGAGACGAAGGAGGTGGGAGATGTAGGTAGCACCAAATGTCACCGAGATAGAAACCAGTAGGTCACCGATATGGTAATCCAAATTGTCCTCGAACAAGATCAAAATGTCGCGGACACTAAGTCACCAATGTCGGAGATACAGAGTCCTAATGTAACCGGTGTCCAATCTGTGATGCAGCCAAGTATCATCCCCAACAATCTCCAAGTCTCGAATTCGGTAAGTACCACAGCCTCTTACCACCAAAGTCCAACCCTGATCTCTGTCCAACTAGTATAAGTCTCCAATCTGAAGAAGAAGAAGAAGATGAAGAACAAGACGAAGAAGAAGAAGAAAATGAAGTCTGAAGAGAAGAAGAAGAAGAAGAAGAAGAAGGGAGCCAAGGAGGAGAGAGAAAGAGAGTGGACTGGCGATGGGAGGGAGGAGAGAAGCCTCCGACTCCCGATACCTCAGGCGGCTATGACCGCCGATAACGGCCAGTCGTCGCTGCTGCTGCTCCGCTCGCTGCTGCGGCGCTAATGCTGCGCTGCGTTGCTCCTCGCTGCTCCTGCGCTAAACTTAGCGCCAGCGCTGATTCGTGCTATACCATACCGCACCGTAGCGTGCCGGTGGGTCGATAGCCTCAATGAGGCTGGACCGGTACTTCTGTACCGGTGGGGCAGAGGCCGGCCTCAATGCTGCGAGGCCTGGCCGTGCCCTGAACCGTCAAGATGGACGGTTCAGCCCCAACCGRCGGRCGGCAGCCTCAAGAGCGCCGCCAGGCCCAAACGGTAATGTCGTTTGGGCCTGCCCGCCGGCTCTGGTCCAAGGTAAGGCCTTTACGGCCTGTAGTACCCCCAAGGTCGGGCCTTTAGGCCCTACTGTGTCCCTCTAACCCTATGTCGGGTCCGGTAGGACCTGTGTGGCATCAAAGATGTAACACACTCCCCCTCTTAAAAGACCGAGCTACTTGCGAGGGCGGAGTTGTCTGTTCGATACCGGGATGGGTCGGGTGGGACGAGCTGCTGCCTTGGCAAGTCGTGTCTTCTCATAGTTGGCGAAGATCCGGGTGCAGAAGTCTGCAAGTCTGCACTAGAGGTCCACCGAGTGTCGTCAGGCGCCTATGTGTTTTAACGGGCAACGGGATTTTTCAACTCTGTTGTACCTGTTATACCCCCCGGGGGGTCCCGTTGAATCCCCGTTGAACGGAACAACGGGGGGTTCCCGTTGAAACCCGAACAACGGGTCGGTCGCAAACGGCCGTGGACACGCGCCCAAGCCCGGGGGGGCGAAAAAATCAGGAAGCCCCCCGTTGTACCCCCGTTGTACCCGTTGTACCCCCGTTGAACGTCCATTGAATACATTCAACGGCGTTGAATCCCCGTTGAATGCCCATTGAATGCCAGCGGGTTCTGCGTGACGGGCGATCAACTCGACGCGGGCTCGGGGCTGCGGGGACAACGCAGTGCAGGCTGGCGACAGAAAAAACAGAAAAATTCTAAAAAAAGGGCCCTCACCGATGCCTTGGACCCCGGAACCCCACCGCAAGCCCCTACCACTTCGCAGCCCGTACCCCATCAAACACATCCCACAGCCCTGGACGCGCAGGGACCGACACGGTGACATCCCTGCTCTCTTGAACTGCCAAAACGTACCACCGCCAACCCCCAAGCGGCTAAGCCCGCCTCCGCTCCTACCCCCCCCCCCCCCCCCCCCCACCCACCCAATGCACACTTTTTTTTTTTTTTTATTTTTTTTTTTTTTTTTTTTCTTTTTCTTTTTTTTTTTTTTTTGGTTTTTTTGTTATTGGTATTTTTATTTATTGTTTCAGTCACTG